AAGTTAAAACACATAAAACCCTAAGGGTGGTTCCTGGCCCATAGTGAAGTGCTCAACTGATGTCAACTGCATTCTGCCTGTATCCATGGGAAAGAGTATTTTAACATTTATTTTAAATTATGCACAAGAACTACCAGGCATGAACAATGGATTATCTTCATTTATTGCTGTGAATTGGAAATCTGTTCTAAACCTACCTATTTACCTACCTACCTACGGACTGGTGTAACAAGTTTATTTGTGTTTTGGAGGGAGGACTTGAGATCCATGCAAAACTTAAATATCATGCTTCAACAGCATTGCAAATCAAGTATATAGTGTGTTAACTATATGGATTGAGCAAATATTTCCTCAGACTTCAAAACGTTTGAACAGACATATCTGAACATTATTGAATTCTGTACCAAAAAAAAAAAAAGCACTACTTGAATACCACCTGGAATAATTAATGAATAAGACCATTGCCTTTGGTTCTTCTATTTTGCTTTTGTAGCATGCCTTAAAAGCAATTACTATTCCATTACTGTTCACACAAGAGAAAATTTACCAGCTTGTAATTTAGAGGCAAGGGGAGGAGACAGAAGAAAATGGAGTCACCCACTATAGTTTCCAAGAAGGAGACAAGAGTCTAAATGTTTAAAAGACACACGTTCATTGCACCAAACAATAATCCAGGCATGTCTTCATGTCTATTCATGAGAAAGGATAATCAGTGAAAAGTAGGTTGGGGGACAAAGAATGATGGAAGAAGACAACAAGAAGAGGCAGTAGAGAGAATGTCTTTTAAACCCAAATTGTTATTTCTGGTCCATTAAAATCTCAAAATCCAAATGAAAACTGGTCTTCATAGAAAACTCAAAAATTAGCCCTAACCCAAGTACTATACACCCAGGGAGAACACAGAAAATCTTGAGATTTAACACTGGACAGACTAAGGAAATTGGCTGCAGTTTTAGAAAATTCTCATGTTTTATCAGCCCTACAACAGGATTATTAATATGGTTTTAGATGGGGAGAAATAAAACACAAAGGGCACATTTCAGGTAAAAGAGTCATTTTATGCTACACCTAAGAGATTCTTTCAGGTTTCTTCACTTGGAAAAGATAATTACCCTACACTAAGTAACAGTATCAAAGGTAAAAGTAAAGGTAGAGCTCTGGTCTCCTTTCAAGAAACACAGGCAGAATTTACTACTTGGGGGGAAGTGCCAAACACTGTAAATCTGAATATCCTTTGGATTGTGGCTCTAACAAGCTGCATATAAAGAGGGGAGCATACTGATGCTTCAGGAAAAGAACGAGACAGAAAATTAAACCTCGACTCCTCCACCTGCTCAGCACACAAAGAGCTTAACTGCACCCAACAGAAAAATTGAAACAAAGGGCCTCTTTAGTTCACTGCTTGCCAGAAAACATCTTCAAGGTGCCTTCTCATTAACTGAGTCCTTTCACCCCCCCACCCCTTAAGTGTCTCACGGCTGGCCTGTCTTCCAGTCTTTGCTCATTAAATTTAAAGTTAAAAATTTTTAAGTTTTTTCTTCTTGCTGGGAAAGGACTGTTTTGTAACCTTTCGATTCAATTGATTTCCAAAGGTGAAAGCAACTTCACCTGAAAAGCGTCAGCTTTAAACTCAGGAAACACTGGAAGGTTTTCTAGTGACGAACAGAAGTCTCATCAATAGGGTTATTGAAAATATAACTAGATAGAGAGCCACATTTATCTGCAGTTGTGGCTTGTATTAAAGTAGCTTAAATCCTTCACAAAGAAGCTTTTCCGGGGGGGTTAGACAGATAGGGTGCTCAGGCAGGCAGGATTATCTGCACTACATCTGTAGGCTAAAACCCTCCGTGCCACAGGGAGAGCAGAAGGACCTGCTGGGATACTGCAAACCTAAAAAACCCTGTCCATCTCCTCCAACGGACAGTCCAGTTCCTGTGGCTACCACTCCCCCCAGAGCTTCATTTGCAAGTGGATTTGGCTGCTAAGGTAGCGCTACTTCGATGCAAATATTTCCTTCCTGGCAGCACAGCTCAGTTGAGAGGGGAGGCTGAACATCAGTTAGCTGTATGGAAGAAGAAAGCAGCTCTCCAGTTACCAGGGAGGAATAATTGAACACAGATTGCCTGTTGCGCCTTTAATTTAATTTGGAGACCTTTCATCTTTTAGTTTCCTTCATTTGCAGCCAATGCTTAGCGAGCTAATTTGTACCTGGTTCATTTTCCTCCTTTTATCTTATCTATGTTAACATCAACCATGGAAATTAGAAGCACTATGAATAAAAGATGAAGCCTGACTTGCGACATTCTCTCAAGTACCGTGAATTACTTAAAAACTAATTTGTGTGTATGCACAATATGGAGGACTGAGATCAATACACCTCGCCTCTACAGCATCCTTTATCAGCATCTTCCCTTCCCCCCAAGGAGTTGCAGTTTTTAGATGTTTTATCTAGTCCTACCTGTTCTCCAAGAGAGCAATGTCTAGACTATAATCCACATGGAATCATTAATCTTAGAGCGGGTATAAGGTAGACCATCCCATTACTGCACAAATCCCAGGATGCATAAATCCCACTAACCTGACTTTTTAGAGAGTTCAATATCGCTCGCCTTACAAGGAAAAGAATGCGTTGCAAAAAGAAAAACTGAATGTATCAACATATATGCATGGTGAATAGATGCCCACTCTGTCCAAAAACACTGTGTGTGAGGGAGGATGAGAGGTGGTGGAGAAAGGGACTAGTCTTGAAATTACTGTCTGGGAGTGGCCTCTGGAAGCTACAGAATTTCAATTCCAAATGTATCATGTGTATGACGTTTTTTAAACAGTCCTTCTGTCGTATATTTTGTACCACTTGGCACCTACCTCTCCATAAAAAGAGTTGCACGTGCTCTTAAATTAAGTTTGATTTTTTTTTCATTACTTCCTACTGTACAAAATTTTAGTGTCTTATAAGTTTTGCATGTTTTACCCTTTATAGTTTCCTCTGGGCCACTACTATTTTTCCTCCTCACCCTCTCCTCCTTTATATTCTTTCTCTTTTTCCAATCGACCAATGAAAAAATCTACTGGGTTTTTCTCTTGCTGCTTTAATATCCCCCACCAACAAGCCTTCCTTCAGTTTGGGAAGCATCAAAGAAAGACTGGGCTCCATTGTTTCACTGCCTGGAACACCAGCTCTCGCACTCATCTAACCCTTCACACCAATGCCCTAGAACCTGGAGATAAACCAAAAAACCACTCCCCCTTCATAGCCCATCCCCCTAAAAAGTTTATTAATAATGATGTGCATTACGTATGCCAAGACCACACATTTCTACAGGTAAGGCAACTTCCAAGTAAGGCAACTTCCAAGTTCCGAGGCAACTTCCAAGGGTAAAAAATAATAATAATAAAAACTTTGAAGTTTAAAATTATGGTGTATTGAAATGTAAAGGTCTTTGCTTCAGAATACAAACCACCGTATCTTTTGGGGAAAGAGTATGTAAGCAGGATCAAAACTGAAGCCCAACTTAAAGAAAAATCAGATTCTCTCTCTGATCTTGGTTATAATAAAGACTACCCCCTACAATGTCAAGCTTATCTATTTCTTCTGAAGGAACATGGAAAGAAAGGCCTACACTGCAAAACGTTGAAGAAAGGATGGAAAGCAATTACTGGTCCTTTTATTCATGAAGGAGAGGATGAATAGAAAGGAAGGTGGCAACTGCCCTTAAAAAATGGATTCTCAAAAGCCACATAGGCAGAAAAATTAAATTGAAAGTGTATAAAGTCACTCTGTCCTGAGGTTAAGAAAGCCAAACAGATATTAGGATGAAGTTGTTGGGCGTTTATGTTTACTAGACACACACGTTGTCCAGTTTACTTGGCAGGGCGGGGGGTGTGATGGAGTCTCCGAAGCAGGAGGTCAAGGAATTTGGGATAAAGGAAAGCAAGTTCCACCAAGTGTCAAAGAATCCCAAGTTTTTGTTTTTGTTTTTTTCCCCCAGGTATCTTTGTATATAAGGAAGAATAGTGAAAACCATGCAATCCGGACTCATTCACAGAACACACACAGACTGCAAAATACCAGCCTCAAGAAGTAAAACCTGTCCTAACCCCCTGCTGGCTCTGTGCATGAGTGGCCTTCCAAGGGAAAAGAGCCATTTAGGCGGCAGGGGACCGTGCTGCACCCAGGACCTCACAGGGAGCACCAGGATGCAATGGGCAGGTGCAAGAGTGGCCTGGCTAACTTGCCCAAGAGAGGCCTTAGAGAAAGGCTCAGAAAAAGAATGAGGTTGTCTTCCTCATAATTCGGGCGGCAGAAAGACAACCACAGGGCACAACAGTCTCAACTCATTTACCAGAGGTTTTCCTTGAAAAAGAGGCAATCTTCAGAATCAGAAAGGGCTTTTGTGGGGTGCAGGAAGAGAAAGAGGCTGGACCCACCACACACACCCTGGAGAAGTCACTGTTTTCACTCTAACCATTTCCGTGCCAGCGGGCTGTAAGAGAGAAATTTGTCTCTGGGGTGATTTTTAGTCACCATCTCCACCTTCCTCCCTGTATGGTTCTAGACTCGAGAATACACCAAGCCCGCCTGCCCAGGGAGCTGGGTCCCTCCGCGACCTGTTCCGGACAGCGTGCCTCGCCCAGCGACTCTCTCTGCCATCTGGGCTCCATCCTCAAGCCAGCCAGAGCCTCGTTCCTGGAAATGGCCTCGCGCCTCACCTGTGTTACTCCCTCGGCTCAATCTCAAGACCAGGTGGACTGCGAAGCCCCTGGTCACACACTCCCTCCCTTGAGCCACAGCGGTCCTCTCGTCCACGCTCCACCCCCAAGGCCAGCGTAAACACGCCAGGGCCAGGGGAAGCTGCCAGCTGCCCGCGAGGAGCGCTCCACCTGTAGTCCCGAAAGGGAGTACGGAAAAGTGAGAACTCACAAGTGCAGCCGCAGCCCGGCCGGCCCCGAAGCCCCTCCTGCGCGCCCCCCCTCCCAAGCTGGGGCGGCCCGGCCGCTACCTCCTGAAACAGCTCCAGACTGTAGGTGTTGTCGTCGTCGGCGAAGAAGAGCACCCCGGGCTGCGCGCGCTGATACTGGTGCCTCTGGCGCAGCCAGGCGAGACCCGCGTTACGCTGCTCCGTGGCGCGCGGCAATCCGGGCCTCTTGTAGCGCCGCGGTGTGGGCACGTGCAGGTGCGTGCTGGGCAGCCCGGCCCGCGCCAGGAAGCGGCTCACCAGCTCGCTGCGCGCCGCCGCGTCCTCCACCAGGATCCAGTGCAGCTGCGCCACCTGGCGGAAAGTGTTGGCCAGGCGGGTCAGCTCGGCTTTCTGCACCGGGCGGCTGTAGGTGGGCGTGATGGCATAGATGGTGGGCAGAGGCGGCTCGGGCCGCGGCCGTGCTTGTGGCCGCGACTCGTTGCGCTTCTGCCAGCCGCGCCCGGGGCTGCTGTCGGGGCCGCCCCTGCGGAGCGGGAGTCGGGCACCCCCGCGGCCCACCACGTAGGGAGAAAAGTAGGGGCGCGGGGTGAGCGGGGGCGCGGGCCTGCGCGTGTCCACGTCGAGCATGATGATGACGATTAGGATCCAGGGCAGGAGGATGAAGAAGCGGCTGAACAGCACGGACTTCATGGTGCACTCTTCGCTGGCCTCTCGGACGCCCCTAAGAGGGGCGAGATGGAGGACCCCAGCGCGCAGTTTGGACGGCGGCGGCGCCCGCACTCAGGAAGCCGCGGCGGGCGCGTTCTCCATGGGGTCTGAGGATGCTGCGGGGGCCGAGAGCCGCGGGGCTCAGGCCCCTGGCGTGGGAGATCGGCGCAGGTGCCGAGAAGCTAGGGCTACAGGGAGCGCAGGCGGGCAGACGCCGTCCCCCAATCCCGGTGAGTCGGCGGGAAGCGGGACTCTGTCCAGCCGCGCGCTGCTCGCCCCGGAGTTGCGCGGAGCGCCAGGAAAGCGGTGATCCCCCGCCGCTCTTTCGGAAGAGTGGGAGCTGGGAACCGGCCCCAGGACTCCTTGCCACTCCCGTCCCGTGGCGCTGCGGCCAAAGGGACTCCAGCGGTGTGCTCCCAATGAGCTCTCTGGGGGGGCACCTTCGAGGGCGGGAGGCAGGCGCTGAGGGCTTTCCTGGATCACATCCCAGCCGGGTGGGCGAGGACCGGGAGGGGACGCCGCAGATGTTGTGCCCCCAGCTCTGCTCGCGCGCCGCAGCGGAAGCCTGCACTCCGGTCCTTCTCGCTTGTCTTCTCAGACCCTCTCCCGGCTCCGGCAGCAAGATCCCAAAGCAAGGAAAGAAAGAAAAAGCGAGGGGGCGGGGGCGCTGCAGACTCCAGCGTCCTCCCTCCTGTGGGAAGACAGCAGCGCTGCTACTGGCCGAGAGGGGCTGCGAGGGGGGCCCTGGCTCTCCGCGGGGTCTGCCGCTGACGGCCCCGAGGGCTAGCTCTGGAGGCGGCTGCTGCACCGCCGGAGGAGCGGGAGGAGGGTCCCCGCGGGGCTGCACGACCTGCGGGAAGGGCTGGATGCTCGTTCGCTCATCTCTGCGCGCTCGTAGCTTTCTGAAATACGGCAAGGTCTTTAGAGATCAGCCAGGAAACCCCATTCGCGTGCGGAAAACTCGGGAGACCTAGGGTGGGGAGTGAGGGGACAAAGGCGGAGAGGGTAAAAGATTCTTTCTCTGGCCCCCAGCTGCAGGGTTGGTGTGCTGGGGTGTGTACCCAACAGCGGCAGCAAAAAGCGCTTTCACTGAAAGGCAGAAATCAATAGAAGCCCTGGGAGACGGAGGGGTGCCACACGTAGGTGTTTGGCATGTAAGATGGTCCGTAAGAAAGAATCCATCCAAACGGTTGCTGCCTGCCTGCAGTGAGATCATTGGGGGGAAATTCCTAAAACTCCAGCTGAGGATGTTTAACTTATTTTTCCTTCAGTAATTTGGAGTCACATTTCCTCACAGTTCGCTGCCATCAGAATTACTCCGTTTGACCCTCCCGACGATCCTTTTAAAGAGGCCTGGAAAGTAGAATCACCTTCATTTTATGGCTGAGGAAGCTGAGGCTCAGCGTTTAAAGTGATTTCTCCGAGGTCAGTAGCAAGTGGCCAAGTGGAAACAGAAGGTGGTCCCCGGAGTCTAGCCCGTGGCTTTCCTCGCTGCGCGGCCTGAAGAAATCACTTTCCACACAGCCCGACCGGGAGGGGTTGGCCCTCCTAGATGTATAAACGTGGTGCAGTCAAAATCAAACAGCGTACGAAGACATAATAGAACCATGACAGTGCCTGGAAGACAACGAGTAAACAACTGGTGCTTAGGACTTTTTATATCGAGCGGACCTTCTAGCTGAGTCCCTGGCTGTCTATAATGTACCGGGAGGAAAGAAGAGGGGCCAGGCTTCATAGTCACGTCCCAGGGAGGTGCTTGCAAAAGCAGCAGGAAAGCCTTTCCCCCCGCCAGCCACGATAAATAATTTCTGAGCCCATCTTCTCTCGGTTGTTTGTCTTCCTCAGTCTCGCTCACAAATAAATCCCTCCGATTGCGCATTCTGCGTGAGGGCGCGCTGGAGAGCTCTGGAGCTGATAGCCCACCCCACCCTTCCAGCCTTTTTTGAGAGTCCTCAATTTCTTAAGCCCTACCCTTGCTGCTCTATCACCGGGAGTTGGAGCGTTTGTGAATTTCCCTAACTTCCTGCTCGGAGTCTGAAACCTGAGGGTGAGATTTATAAAGTTAACATGCACTCCCTCCCCACCCTCCCACCACAAGCAAGGACTAACGTTCTGTCCCAGCTCCCTGTATCAGCCACGACTCATACTATAAACTCGGCAGATTAGTGCATCCTAACATAGGAAACAGTGAATCCGTTAGACCCTTCCCTGACTCTCAGCTACCCTAATGGTCCTCTGAATATAACACAACCTCCTGAAAATGTGTCGTGATCAGGCCTGGGGGTGCACCGCCTGAAACCAATGTCAGTATCTTGGGGCAGTTAGGTGGGGGAGGGAACCCAGTAAAGGCTTTTCTTAAATACTAGAAAACAGCACGCACACCTGGCGACCTTTGCAAAGATTACTGAAGCCTCATTCATCCTGCTGAAATTTTTAATGTAGTTGAAGAGAAATGCGGAGTGTGTTAGCTGGAGTGCAGCTCAAGTGGTTACTGGAAGAAACTTCACTAATCTTTGTTAGTCGGGAATTCTTGGTTATACTTACTATTCCATAAAAATTCATTCCTAATTGCTTCTTCTCCAGCAACCAGGGCCATTCACAGATGAGACACTTTCAAAATCAATCAAATTTTGGAATTGGAGATTTTAACTGGTGTTCAGAATTCACAGGTGTCCTACAACACAACGCTTAACTAGCACATTCACCTTAAGGAGGTCACCTCATCGTTTCTATTACCTTTCGTCAGCATTTGCATCCAGGTTTACCTCATTCAATCATCTGTTGGGGGCATCGTGGTTCTTTTTTTTTTTTTTTTTTTTTTTAAGATTTTATTTATTATTTGACAGAGAGAATGAGAGAGAGAGAGCACATGAGAGGGGGGAGGGTCAGAGGGAGAAGCAGACTCCCCGCCGAGCAGGGAGCCGGGGGCATCGTGGTCCTTGAAGTCAGGCTGACCTTGGTTTGATTCCCAGCTGGGCCACTTGAGCAACTTTAGAAAGTCGGTGAGCTTCTCAGTTTCCTCACCTGGAAAATGGAGTTAATAATACATACTCCATGGAAATCTTATAAGGATTAAATAGCATAAATTAGGTAAAGTATTTTGCAGAGGAGCTGGCATTATGCAAGCAATGAATGGTATTTAAATGCAGGTAACACTTGTTCAAAAGAAGATCTTAACCCGGGAGATTTGCAGAATCATCGTCGCACAGGAATAAAAATGAGATCCATTCTAAACAGGACTGACCATGCCTCTAAAAATGGCCTCCGCCTGTCAGGAAGGTGTCAGTCAGTGTGTGTGGTAGTCTTCCCCCATTTGAGGTAGGAAGGGGAATAAAGAAATATTTACCCCAAATACAAGGTGCAGCTTGTCATGCAGTAAGGATGACATGATTCCAAGTGACATTTATTTCAAATGACTGAATATGCCATATTGTTTTACATTCAGTGACTCAAAAATGTGAACCCACATCTTTCATGATCAAATCCGAGTCAAGATAAAGATACAAAATTATTAAGAATGTCCATTTGAAGCAAAAACCAGGGTAAAACACTTTAAAGTGCAAAAATGTATCATGCTTTTAGAGAGTTTATCAGGCACCAGAATGGAAGAAACTCCTTTTAGTGGAAGCTTAAAGAAAATGCCATTTTTATGAAGCATAATCACTGAGTAGCTATAGTACTTTTCCATATAGTCTATGATATTTTTACATAAAACAATTTAAACTTGATCTGTGGCTGATAGTGAAGGTTGATGGAAGTCACTAGAGTAATTAAAATAATTACCTAACTTCAGAGCTTCTGTACATCCTCTCAGTGTTTATTTTCATTTAATCTCTCTAATTATTTGTGTAACAAAGTGAGCATTGCTTCATCTGTACTAATGAAGCCTTAGATTGCTGGCATCAGCCACAGCATTTCATCAGCATTCTGTTGTTGTTCTCAGATAAACAAAGGTAAAAAAAAAAAAATCCCATCTGGGGAGTTAACAAAAACATATCGTATAATCACTAAACATTTACATTTTGCCTTGATGAGTAACATGCAACTGTAACTTCTGGAGCAAAAAGATTGCAGCCCGATTAGTGCACTGTATAGAACTGATCCCATTTGACATTTGAGCCTGGGGTTCTGCCACTGTGACTAAATCAACCTTCAGATGAGCATCTGGGGACATCCTGAATATTCTTAGTCAAGTAAGAAAGAGATCAAGAAAAAAATCTGTACGCAATCACAGACCTGTACCTCTGAAACAAATAATACATTATATGTTTAAAAAAAAGAAAATAGTAGGAAGGGAAAAATGAAGGGGGGGAAATCGGAGGCAGAGACAAACCATGAGAGACTATGGACTCTGAGAAACAAACTGAGGGTTCTAAAGGGGAGGGGGGTGGGGGAATGGGTTAGCCTGGTGATGGGTATTAAAGAGGGCACGTACTGAATGGTGCACTGGGTGTTATGCACAAACAATGAATCTTGGAACACTACATCAAAAACTAATGATGTAATGTATGGTGATTAACAATAAAATAAAATTTTAAAAAATCTGTACAGAAGTATTTGTAAATATATGATGATATGGGTATGCAAATCAGGTTGTAGAGAGAATCAGAACTAACTCATGTGCAAGTAATAATGTCATGTGAAGGTATTGATAATCAATACCCACATGCACGTGAACATAACTCTGTTAAAATATCAGATGTGAAAGAGTGACATCCAAAATAAATAATTCTAACAGCCCCAAATTCCAGGGCTACATGACAGTTTCATTGATAACTGTCAGAAAAATGACATTCAAACCACAAATTAAATGGCTCATTTGGTTTATTTTCTTGCATCTGGATCGTCTACAAATACCACGTTTAGCCTAGAATTGTTCTAAATTATGGTTCCTTAAAATTTTAGACATTTGCAGCTATTATGTACAAAATGTGATGTTAGCAGTAATTTGTTGAGTAAAATCCCATTTTTTATGATAGGTTGGGATCAAGGTTATTCAGTAAAAGTGGGTTTCTAGAAAAGTAGAAATTGGCAATTCATCCTAACAATTTCATTGGAAGATAATTCTATTCAGTTTGAATAATAGCTGAAGGTAAAACATGCCAGTGTTCCTCCTTTTCCCTTTATTAATGAATTAA